CTCTTACATCTCGCTAGAGGCACCGGCAGTCCACGACGGCGAAGACNCCTTTTTTGTTCCCCGCTGCGGTGGCGCGGGAGTGACGGGACGTGCGGCCGCCACCTTCTGCGACCGCTGCGGCGGGAGAGAAGAGACGGCGTGTGCGTGTGCGTGTGCGGCGTGTGCGGGGCTCTCTTTTTCTCCTACCCCCCCCCCCCCCCCACTTGTGCGTGTGTGTGCGTGAGGCGAGTGCGTCCGCGAGGGATTATTCTGTCGCCGCCACGGAGGCGTAGGCAGTCGCGCTGCACCAAGAGAAACGAAAGAAAAACTGAGCGACGCCTGCTGGAGGCAGCGTCACTTTGCACGGCGTCTCGCATGATGCGTGCGCGGCAGGAAAGCCACCAACTGCCGCGGCGTCGGCGGCGGGTGCGTCGGTGCACGGATGGAGGCGCGTGCCGCTCGTCCGGCGGCAGGGGCGTTCGAAAGTAATTCGGTTGGCCACCGCAACAGTTGCCTCGACGGCACGGCGCTCGTGCACGTGCTGCGCAGCGAAGGACTCGCGGGAGGGGCGGGGTGGGAGCCGCCGGCACGTCCACATCCTCCGCGTTGTTGCTAATGCTAGAGAATGAGAACTTGCTTTAGGCTCTCGCCATTGGTTGCTGGAATGAACCTGTTGGGTTTTGTATGGAAAGCATGGATAAAAACCAATAAACTATGTAGCCTGCTGTTATTCAATCTTTCTTGTATTCTGTCAGTGTTAAACAAAGGCTCATTTTTTCCTCTTTGTTGTAGTTTTTTTTTTCTACTGTGTTCACTGCGTCGGCGTGGGTCTTCCCGCGCGTTGGATGCAAGGCCAGTGGGGGTGCGACCTAGAAGGAAGGAACGATCGTTGAGGTGGAAGTTGCCCGTTTGTTATTCCTGCTCTTTAGTGCTTCTCGCACCGCGCACGCGGGGGGCTCTTTTGGGGGGACTGGGGCATGACCGTCCATCTGCATTGGTTGGATGACCTTCCCGCTTGCGAGGGTTGGGTAGAGAAGTATTCGATTGGGCGCAGTCTCTTCTCCAACAAGAGCTGGCAGAGGCGCTACGTCATTGTGGATCGTGAGGGCATAGGGTACATGCACAGTATTCCCAAGCAGCCCACGAAGCCTTCCGCCGCACGGTGCTTTGTGCCATTTGAGGGGCCTCGTAAGAGCAACGGCGAGGTGCGCCTGCGGCCAGTCTACCTTTTGCGACACGTGAAGCCGTTCATGCATCCAGAGGTCCCTGAGGAGTGGCATTGGAAGGAAAGCGCCTCAAACGGAAGTGGACAGTCCCGTGAGTACTACTACTTTGCAATTTCATTTCAGGAGCGAGACAGGCGACTTTTTATGCTGCTTCGCACCACAACTCTAGAGGATTACAATGTGTGGACGTTGGTACTCTCAGCCTATGTGCCAGCTGGGAGCCTAAACACGGTTGTCCCGGTACCTCACCCACTAGAGGCGAATCACAGAGGCTTGGGGCGCTTATTCAATCCAAGGCGAGCCTTCTTCTTTGGAAGAGGTGAATTTGCAGCGGATGCCTCATGTGCCGGTTTCTACGTGCGAGATCCTGATCCGTGCACGGAGGTTGAGCTTGACAGAATCCACAAGCTTGTGCTTGCCTGGGATGAAGGGGAAAAATCTCGCTGGTTTAACCTTCGCACTGAGGGGTCTTCATTATCCAATCAAGTGCTGCTGCTCCAGGCGGAGAATGAAAAGGAGTGGTACAGACTGTTGAACGTAGTGAGTGAGGAGGATTGCGAGTGAGCAGACCCCGAAAAACTGGGGTGACCGCTCACAGTGACGGGGCGGCATGCGCCGAGGGAAGGGAATTACCAGCTCCGCGCCATTGATGCATGTATAGTCGTTAGTCCTCTCCGCTCTGCCTTAATTCATGAAGATAACAAAACGTGTAGTAGTTTTGCTGAACCTGTGATTGCGAATGGTGATGACCACTTTTTTTTTTTTGCTACTTAAATAAGCTTTACGCCCTTCCCTTCAGCCGCGCCCTAGTTCTTCTGGAGGCTCTCTCTTCCTCCTGCAAAGCTTCGGACGGCACGCCATACGCGGGGACGAGGAGAACGAGGGGAGCAGCACGCGCAAAAAGCTTTTGGAGTTAGTGCAGCTGCATGTGCGTTTA